CTCCTACCAGCAGCGTGTTGTGCTCCACTTGCCAGTGTGTTGTGGAAGTGTCTTTTGTCTTTGCGTGCACTCTCCTTCACTGCTTTGTCCAATGTATTGAGTGTTTTATATGTTGTACTCAGTTCGTGTTTTCGTTGTACATCCCTGCACTGCACTGGTTCATCTTCTGCTTCACCATCACCACCACCATCACCATCTTCCTCTCCCTGCTCTATCAGCTTGTATGTATCCGTCGTGATGCATTCCTTGTCTTGTCTTGTCTTGTCTTGTCTTGTCTTGTTTCCCCTTCCTTCCTAACACGGTTATGCAGGTTTCCTTCCACGTATCTTCCAGAGAGTTCTAGTGTTCTTCCATGCAGGTTTCTTCAGAGATGTTGTTCAGTGCCTCTTATTTTGTTCTGATGGCTGACGTGAAGATGTGGTTCGTAGTTTCGTGCTTGAGTTCAGTTTCTGTTGTGGGTGGTTGTTCAACTTGAACTGTGGTCTATCATCACCGACTTCTTTGAAGGCTTTCAACTTGATATTGAAGGTAGGTAGTTAGGTAGGTAGGCTTCTTGTACTAGATTAGATGGTGAGTGGTGTGAATCACCTCCATCTGCTCCTCTTCTTCATCTGATGTTGTGTCCAGTAGGCTGTGTCTCCACTTTCTTCACACTGAGATGAAGTCGATGTGATTTTTAGTGTGTCCTGGTGTGGTGTCTGGTGAAATGAAATCCATGTCGCTGCCTTGTGAATATCCTTGTGCTTGAACACACTGCCTGACTGGAATCAGCAAATCGTTGAATGCACAGAAATCTGCAGACAGTTCTCCATCCTCCTTCATCAACTGACCGAGTGCTTGTCAACCACTGATGAGTTCTCTTCCTGTGTTGTCCGCTGCGAGTTTGGCATTCATGTCACCCCACCCATTAGAATTTTGATGTCGCCATCTGGAGTTGGGTCTTGTCCAGAACTGATTGCAGTTGTCTGTAGAATTCCTGCTTATTCTGTTGGTCTGCATTATTTGTAGGTGTGTAGGTGTGTATGGTAGTGTAGCGTAGCATTGAATGATTATGACTTTCCTTCCTTTTGAGTTGAACCCTGATGTCATGATCGTGATCGTGTAGGAGTAGGAGATTGGTTCCCACTGCATGAGAGAGAGAGAGAGAGAGCCTTCGATGTTCTTCGAGACATGATGATGGCTACTTGAATTCTCAGTGTACTGTGTTCATGGTTGTCGTCTGGGTGACAATATCGGAGTAGATAATTGACTCTGCAGTTGACAGTCCATCTGCAGAGTCCACCTCCATTCCATACCATCTGCTTTCACAGATTCCTAGCACTTCCATGCCATATCTCCTCATCTCTTTAGGAATCTGGGCAGCCCTGCTAGATTCAAACACAGTGTGGACATTCCATGTGGCCATCGTTACTTTCACTTTCATCGAGAGAGAGGAGGCATCGGTGGACTGGCTTCGGGGATACTTTAACCGACTGGCGTCATTTCGTGTCTCCGATTGCAGGGAGGAATACGTTTGTTTTCATGTTTTATAATTTGTTTGTGCTTTGAAGGAAGTTTGTTTAGCGATTGGATTTGTTTTTTTGGATAGGGTTGCTAACCGTATGCCGAAACTTGCCTTTTATCCGGTCTTCTGACCGGTTAGTAAGTAATGAACTGGTTCTCCATGCGAGTTCTTATTCACTGTAGAAGAAGGGTTAATTTCTAGGTTTCACTTTCGAGACGTAATGTTAAATAGAAGAGATGTTTACTCGATTTAAAGTCAGTCCACCTCATACCAACTTGAACTGGCCAGTTCACTATCTTTATTTGAGAAACGTATTTGTACAAGAAATCTCGTTCACTTCTCACGTTCCGGAATCTATGAAATCCGTTTAAAAAGTATGTTGGATGCTGAAATTGAAACTCTCAGCACAACACTATCAAATAACGGATTCTCTTAAGTGTTTATTGATAAAAATCTGAAGAAAAGAATCACCCCTCATCGTATTACAGTTCCTAAGAAAATCTTAATCATGAATCTAGAATTCAAAGCAGACACCACAGCCGAGGTGCTGAATACCCGTCTGTCAAAGTGTATCTATAATAGCTTTTATGTTGCTAAACTGAGATTGCTTTTCTCCGGCCATCATCTGATTCGACAATGCTTAAAGGTCTGGCCACTACTTATGCCCACATCTGTGTGTATCTACTAATTCACTTGTTCCTATGGAGCTGGCTATATTGGACGTTATGAGCGGGCCCTCCGAAAACGTGTTTCTGAACACTACCCGGTTTGGCTTACCAAAGGCAAGCGAAGAAAAACAACTTCATCCATATATGAACACCTAGTAGAGTTAGGTCATTCAGCACCTCGAGATTCTTCCTTTAAGGTAATTTACAAATTAAATTGAACTATTCCAAAGGTCTGCGTATTCAGCACTTATTCATAGCTGAAGCATTAGCTATACATAAACAAAAACGGAAATTCTGCATTCAAAAGCCTTTCGTGGAACCACTTTCTCTACCTTGGCCTTAATAATTCAGTTTGGTTATTTGATTAATATCATTTCACTTCACTTTGATATACTTCTCTTTTATTATCATCATTATCACCAATTTTCTTTTTATTGACAGCATTTGACCTATATTTCACTATTGAGTATCAATTAATTCCTTATTCGTTGACTCATTTTACATGCTTCAGTTAAATTATCATCGTTTTAAAATTATTTGACAGCAGTTATTCCTTGTCTCACTACCTGTTATCAATTCGTTCCCTATTCAGTGACCCATTTTCTATTTTTTCCACCTGAACATATCCCATCACCATCACCTATTATATGTTTTGCATTTTGACTAAGCAACTTTTTAGTGCAATTATCTGCCATTTTACCGATTATAAATACAACTGTACAGCTTGATAATGAAGTCGTTGAAAAGAAATATTTCTTCGCTGATAAATATCTTGTTCTAATCCAGTAAACATTTGATCTGTTTGAGCACTCCTTCAAATTGTTCTCCTTTTAAGAAGCCTACATTATTCTGGATTTGTTACATTTTTTCGATCAATAATTTCCTGTCACCTTGATAAAGTATTCGAAATGTAATGTACACATTATGGGACCGTTTAAATTGTAGACAACAGAGTGGAATCTGATGAATAAATATTCACTGATATAATCCTGCTTCTTTCGTTGTTCTTACTAACTTCAAATTCATAAAGTCTCAATTTTTATCTAAGATCTTATTTAGGGATGGATACCAGTAGACTCAACCGTTAACGTTTATGACAAATAAGCTAGATATACCTATATCACAAATGAATTTTGTATTTTGTTGAAAGGTATATGTGAGTGAAGTTTATGAAAACTGTTAGTTAAGTGTTTATGGACTTAAGATTTTGAGGCGAATATGGAAATATTATACCATGAATATATTACTTAATATTGTCATACGACTGATATGATAGTCATTGGTTCCATTTTTGATTCCCACCATGAACACACTGGTTGTTCGTCATTCATTTCTCATCTGCTACTTATGTGTATTTCATATTACTCGTTGACCAATGTGTTTTTGTATCATATATGTGACCAAATTTTGTGTTATTTCCATACTGGAGGGCGGGGAAAATCAATTCCATGAAAGATAACTGTCTACTAGTTTCATCTTTATCTCAGCCTAACCAGTACATAACAATTAAACCATAATTACTTTCCTCATTCTAAAAATATGTATTCAAAATTTACAGAGCTAGTTGTTTAGTATATCTTTGCATCAGGCAAACTGGTATTTGCATTTAGACAAGTTCCTGATGACTCTTGATATAATAAAGATTTCAGGGTAGAAATTTGTTACGAATCCTTCAATTCCTAATGTCAACCAACTTACTTATTGACGCGGCTAAATATTTTCTTGTTTACTGTGTAATTTTCATTTCTAGATTATTTTCCTGACTACGTCTTAATGAGAATTATTTATTGATAATTTTTCCAAGAAATGTACACTAAATAATAAGTGTAACTGAATATCTGCTGAGGATGATACCACTGAAAACCAGTTCGTTAGCTGAAATATTTCTTATTTCACTCACCAATTGATGACCAGATTTGTTTATTATGTATTATCATTACTACCATCATCATTATTATCACCTTCATTGAAAACTTGGTGACCACCTGATAACCAAACCTCTTTTACATTCCAGGATTACCGACAATTAACTACTGCTAAAGCACATATAGGCCAGATTCAGTTGTTGTGTTGAACAAAAGGAGTCTGAATTCCAACAGAAGAGCTACCATGCTTATGGTTGGGGATACAGAATGAAAAGCAATAAGTTTTGATTTTTAGTTAATCGTTGAGTGTCTGGAGACAGACTGACATCTAATATTTTTCAACATCTCTAATCTGTCCCACTAGGAATCAAAAATAAAACTAGTGTAATGCATGAATATGTAAATTATCGATATAATTATAGATTGACTTGTGTATCAAAAATTTGGATGCGGTCAAGTGCTCACTCTTGACGTCACAAAATAATTTATACTAAACAGATATATGATTTTCCTGACAAAACGGAGCAGTACCAATGAGATAGTTAGTAAATAAACAATGAATATAAATGACATTACACTTATGTGAAGAGAAAAACTTATTGCTGCAGTTTCAGTTTCAAATAACCATTGATTATGTAATAGCTTCTTGTCGGAAGAATTTTGTTAACCATTACCCAGTCGTAGACACTTAGAAACCTGTTTATAGGAAGCATTCATTTTTAAGAAATTAAGCCATTCAGAAAAACCTGCATTGCAATGTCGCATGCAGATTCCTTCTCTTAACTGTCCAGTTATTTTTCGATATAAAAGAATATTAAATGAACTGTAAATTAAATAGTCTTTTTCACGTGAACGGGATGTAATACGTTTGTTTCAGTTCATTGGCTATTGATTATGGACAAATCAGATTTGTGCAGTGCATTAATAAGGGAAAACTAAGAGAAAAGAATAAACCTTCAAAAATAGAAATGTATTTTTAGTACAGTTTTTTCGAACTGTTGACTACTTGAATTCACATTGCAATTTTCGAAATAGTTACATCAATTTGTAAATGAGCATACATGTACTTCTATGCTTAAGCATCATGGATTCTATATAATTAGAAGAAAACGTATTGATTCATTTGAAGGCAGTTTATGTTACTTATTTTAAAAAAATACTGTTAGCGGACATATTTACATAAACCCTTGGTTTAATAAATGCAGCTCCGTCGTTTCGCTAGTCAAATTGGTGATGAACGGGAATTCGATCTTAGATTGATGCGTCTAGGTCGATTTGAGCCTTGGGGGATTCGATTTTTTAAGAATCATGAACGTTTATGGATTTCTGAAGTAAGCTTTTCCTTCAGTTATTTATTAATCACTTACTGATACCGAGTAGGAAACTATCGATTATGAAGTAGTACTGGACAACTTTTTTGTTTTAGGACATTTAAAATTTCCATTTAAACATTCATTTTCCACACTCTTAGTAGTCTATTTCAACTTATTGAGTGGTAATGGGATCATTTGGGGGGGGGGTATGGTTCGTTGATTTAGGTAGTTAACTTTCACCTTATGTGTTAGAGGTTCAAATATCACTCTATCGGAACCAGGTAGTACCATTAGCCTCCACACAATAGGTATGGCTGGCTGCCTGCTGTATGCATGTCCACAGGGTTGTTGAGAGCGTTTCGATTTCTTACGGGCTGATTGGGAAATATGAGTTTTGTCGGTTAATTATTTCTTAGTTTGAAATACTAAGTGCAGAAAATTTTCCATATCTGCATCGAATTTAAATAAGAACAGAACATCGAATATTATTTAAAGGTTTTTTATGAATGTGTTATTCTTAGGCGTAAGCAGTTAGTGCCAGGAATTATGATTCTTATTGGGATAAGAATTAATCATTGTGGTACAGAGTAGTTTTTATTTGCCTACCTGTTTTTTAGATTATGCTATGTAAGTTGATGACATTATTGGGAAAACTCAATTCTTGTAATGAGATCAAGGTTGTCACTGAGCTTCTGGGACTTGTATCTCATAATTTTGCTGCTTTGGTTTCATTGTTAGCGAAATTTTTAACAAATCTGAAGGCATTGTTTTATCATTCCCACTAATTGAACTAGATTCTAATTTGAACCTTAGGATTTATGCACAGGAATCTCAATAAGGATGAGAACAATATGTAACATAAAGTTCCACTCTGAGATAAATTTTGTCGATTTCGATTTCCTTAACTCAAATGTGCAAAACCGTACTAATTGTCATATAGTGTTCCAAAGAACCAACATCAACCGGAATATGAATTAAAATTCTTGGAAGATTTATGACCACCTTGATATGATTAGAAACCATAAACTTTACCAGAAACGTAATTCAGTCAACAATAACTTATCGTCGCATGTTATATGAAGTAAAGAAAGCCAGTGAAGACTCAACGCTTACATTAAGAAAGATTTATTGAGTTGACATTTCTACGAAAAATCAAAACGTTCTTACTTTATCAAAACTGTTTGCCGTCAGCACGGTTTACATCAGTTGAAGTTCTGTTGATGAAAGGTGACTATATAACCCCATTTCGAGCGAATGAAATCTTTTTAGTGGTGAATTTATCAACTAAGAATAATAGGATTCTTTCTGAAAGAGACTTTCATTAGTTTTAAGAATTAAGATACACTTACCAGTTTACGATAAATATATCGACTTTCATTTTGCAGTAAAGCATCACTGAGGAAACCAAATCCTTCTTTTGTTGGTTATATTGTAAAAGGTGTGGTACACCAATATCAAAAGACTGCTGAGCAGATAGAAACAACAGAATATTACACACTTATTTCAACCGAGAGTGGAAGTAACCCCAACCTTATCATTAACTGGTATTTTCGTTATCTGTATTGTCATAGGAAGCCACAAGCTATGAAATGAAATTTCATGTTGTAGCTTGCAAGTTTCCATGGTTGACTGAATGGGATTGGTTAACCACTATTGGTATTTCGGATCCTGGAAGGATGTATAAATACTACTAGTAATTGCAGTTTGATAGTAATGTTGGATAGTGACTGGCAGTAGAAACCAGGACGGTAGCTTCATCCTATTCGGATAGTTAATGGCGCCTGATGCTATAGGTTCTAAGCTAGGAACTCAGTGGGAATGAAGTCAGTCAGTGAAAAGCAGATAATCACGATGAGGACGAAACACGTCGTGGATTCTGCTGCTGATCACTATCTATCGCGAATATGAGATTTTAGTTTTTCAGTACTCAAAGAATATTTATTTGCTTATCAGTGTCTTCCTTTAGTTTCCTCGTGGTTGCCGGCACTATATTATTTTAAAAGTTATCTTTCTGACTCAATGTACAATGGCAGTACACAACGGTAATAACTAGTTTTTGGAGGTTTTCTTAAAGATTTTTAAATGTGATTTTATATTTTTAAAAACTACCTATTTATTTTGCATTGAACTAAGTTTTTGTCGCTAAAAGATATTGTATTTTTGCACAAAATGAAATCCAGAAATATTTATTTTCTGGGTACACATGTTTTAGACAGATGTATATGTTGACAGTGTGATGTATGAAAGGTTGTAATCCAGTGAATGGTGACACTGTTTGTAGTTTCATTCTTGTATTGTCTGATTTTAGACACTCTTTTGTTACTGTTATATCATACCATGAATAATGTCAAGTTGCATCTATTTTGACGATTTTGTGAGTCTAACTAAGGTTATTTTTCCGATATCGTCTCAAAACCCATGTCTTCTGTATGAAAATAAATGCATTGCTGAGAAGATATATAATTACAATGTAAATAACTTATGTGAATAGATATGGTTCGGTCATCATTCAGTAGATTTTTATCAATACTGAAATCTGTTTTAATCAACATATTAGTCACTTTATCTTGTGAAATATTTCTTAGTGCATGGATTATCAGTGGATAGTGTTTTTATCGTTAATGATAGGACTGTATTTCAAGCCGTTACAAGTTTCAGTTTTATTGTCAAGTGAACTGTAACTAATAATATTTTTTGGTTGTGTCACCCCAACTTGTGAGTTTTTAAAATATTTAGCCGTGGTTCTAAGCCGAAATAGAAATAGTTCAAATTCTGGGCAAACCAACTATTATGAGTCCTAACAAAGATCAAATGAATTTCAGTTAGGTGGAAGGATGATTAGTATTCATGTAACCAGCGTTGCATCTAATGCAGCAACTAATATTGTTCTGGATACAGTTGGCATCTAGCTTTACGCTAATAGAGATACATGTTATGACCAAAGTAAAAAGGAAGAAATCACACTATAGATGCGGATATACCTGGTTTTTAAAGTTTTCGACTATCAGGGAAAAATGGACAAGCAAACCGAAGGGGTAGTTATGGGGTCATCAGTATCCTCATTTTAGCAGATATTTCTGAATAGCTGGAAGCAACCAGACTTTAGAATATACAACCCTACTACAAATTACTAGAAAGATATACAGATGACAAATTCATATTCCTGAAGTTGGAGAATACACGAAGATTTCTGACACATGTAACCGAAATATTAAACGCATATTAATTTCATTTATAGCCAATAAAGTGATATAGAACTATTTTTGTTGGTTAGTAGAATGCCAAGAAAAGAAGATGAACACTCAAACACTAGTGTTTGAAGAAAAAACGCCATCTTCATAGCAAACTGAGTTATGTACTTTAACTCCCATCTTGTTTCAATGGAAGGATTTGTGAAATATTTGAATATCTGGGTAGAATGTCTAACCAGTAAAACAAACCTTATTACTCGGTAGTTATCCTTGTAACTTGGTCCAGAAATGAAAAGAAGAAGATTGAAGGTTATGATACTGAACAAACTAAGATTAAAGCCACGAGGGTCACTATATGGGAAAAGAAACCTGAATATTACATAGGATCTTCAAACAGCTACGGATTAAAGTGTCACTACAACCTAAAGACGTACGGAGAAACAAGCATTGCAGATTTAAGGATCCGATGGAGCCTATTAAGCAAAACAGTTTGGCTTATAACGCTGTATATAATGAATTTTCTGCCACCGGAGTGAGTTTGAATGAGAGAGTGTGAGAAGTTGGCCGAATCTGGAATGCTGGATTCTGATAAGAAATCTAGAAAAAAGCTCAATCGTAACAATGTATGCAATCAAATACAGCTAGACTATATGATGAAAAAAGTGAGACGGATGAAAGCTAAGCATGGCAGAGAGGTTGAAAACAGAAGGTTTGCTTATGGAATCGATTTTGGAAAAAGCAATAGGAATTACTCAACTTCTGCTCCATATACCTATGAATTTATATTAGATTTATTACACATAGGGGGAAGAAATCAATTTGAAAAAGCTGGAAAGAGAAATTATTCTCATGGAATTTCGCTAGAAATTAGCTTAAATCCTATATTCTGCAAAAATGGATCTTTTTCTTCATTGCATTTTCTATAAACTTCCTATGTACTTCTATAAACTATTCTTTTTGCATACATGATTGGTGATCCCTGAGTTATGATCAGCAATCATTTTTATCAACATCACTCGAGTGGTAAAAGCCTTTTTTATGACAACCTAGAGTTACGAATGTCTTCTGACGAACTGTTAGAACAAATGACACAATAGTGGTCCAGTTATCTCTGACTGTTTAGCATATATATATATATATAAGCGGAGTTTTCAAAAATGGGTTTGCCATCTCCACATTTATGCTTCAGATGACTAACTTAGTATTTCTTGGAAATTTTGTTTTTTATTTGGACAACCTAAATGTCAAAAAAGATATGAAAAACTACATATCAAACAAAGCAGTACAAGTTACACAGTCTACTTTTTAAAAGATATTACTATGTCTGAGTGGAAATTGTTTGTTTAGCAACTAATTGTCCTCGTGTGAACAAAACGGGATTTGTCATTATTACATTTACTGATAAACTAGGCTCATAAAACTGCCATTAAGTTAAATAACTCTCTTAGTCAAAACCAAAATACAATTTTTGGAAATAAGTAGTCTAAAATCAAGGGCCTTTTTAACCAGATATGAACTTAAGGTAATCTAGTTTATATTAACACTAAGACTGTTTTTTATTGTGTCAAAGATGATTCAACAAGTTGACGGTTATTATCTGTTATCTTATTAAAAAAATAAAATATTTTTATCACCCTGCTTATAAATAGTTGCATATTTTCAACTTTTGGACATTACCTATCATTTTTGCTACTTGGATCACTTTATGTTTCTCTTATTGTAATTATTTGCGATGTTTTACAGTAGGAACAACTCCGACTTGTATCTCGTTGTTTAATCAACGTTCAGAAAAATCTATTTTTCTGCAACATTTTATAAAGCTTCACA